TGTGTGTGTGTGTGTGTGTGTGTGTGTGTGTGTGTGTGTGTGTGTGTGTGTGTGTGTGTGTGTGTGTCTCACTTTGACACACCCTTCATCATCACAGAAGGAAAATCTTATAAAGTTTTAGTTTTATTAACTGACTGTTGGGGGCGCTGCAGCCACAAACAATAACACACACACACACACACACACACACACACACTGAAGATTTTCATTGGAGCCACTGTTGCGTAGAAATCAAGAGAGAAGCCTTTATGCCTTTGGGGGAGGGGACGAGGGGGGGAGGAGAGGGGGGGGGGGTCAGAGGAAGGAAAGAATCGAGAGACGATAAAAGGTGTTTTTGTGAAGAGGAACCTGCAACAGACAGATAAAGTCTTTATGAGGCGCTGGTGTGTGACTCTATTGTCACGTCATGTTTCTATACACACACACACACACACACACACACACACACACACACACACACACACTCACTGTGAATGCTTATTGTGACTCGATCAAAGAAAAACATATTTTCCTTTGATTCCAGCTTCAGGTACAATAAACAACGACCTGATGAACACGAAGATCAGTGTCACACGTGTCACACGATGCTCAGCTTCCTGTTTACTTTCTGTTTACTTCCTGTTTACTTCCTGTTTACCTCACCTGAGCTGATTCATCGACTCTCAGAGTTCCAGAAGAATCTCAGTTCAGGTTTCAGCTGCTTCCTTTCCAGATATTTGATGTCACATGATGCTGATTGGAAAACTGCATCAATTAACATGTGTTCCTAATAAAGTGATCAGGGAGTGTATCATGTATCATGTCAGGAGCGGGTGAGAGAGAGAGAGAGCGAGGGCTGGGGGAGGTGGGGGAGGTGTGTTATATGAGGCAGCAGCAGAAATCTCGGTGTTCACAGAGGACACGTCAAGGTTGAACAACACAGACGTAAATTATTCACACACACACACACACACACACACACACACACACACACACACACACACACACACACACACACACACACACACACACACACACACACACAC